CCCCACTCCACCCCCGCCTGTCGCCGCCCCAGACTTCAGTGTGGGCAACTCCTCACGTCCCTCAACTATGGGCTCGAAAGTCCACAAGGCTCCCAGCTCCCGAAAATCATGTGTGACGGTGCACACCTTTCATCCCAGCGCTCAGAGTGGAGAGCCAGGGGCTACTTATGGAGACACACCAGTGAGTGTGAGTGTGAGTGACATCCCGTCTCCAAAAAAAAACTGACAAGATAAAACTGAATTTCGGAGCCTTGCTCGCAATATACCTGGCACACAGTAAATGCTCAATAAATGGGCGTCGTTGCTTGGACCCCGTCTCCATAGCCGTGTGTCCCACTGACCTCCATGCCGAAGGGCATTGGGCTCTACCCTGAACAAACACTGGCACCCGGCCAGGCCCTGGAGGAAGGACTGAGCCCAAATTCTCTGCATGGACTTTCCCCAGAGTGGTGCCATACGGAAGTTCCAGGCCTGACCGGCAGGGAATTTTCTAAATGTCGAGGCTGGGATATTGTCTTAGGGGGTCAACTTGGAGGCCTACCCCTGTAAGTAAGGGACAGTCTTACTCAGCTGTGCATCACCAGGAAAGTGGCTGAACCTCTCTGGGCCTCAGTTCATTTTCTGCCAAACGGTGACCCGCCTGCCCCAGCAAGTGTTACTTGGCTTGTCTGTGGTACAGAATGAGAAACTGAGGCTGGGCCAACAGCACAATGGTTGATAGCTTCAACTTCCAACGCCAGGTCCACCCTGCAACCCCAGCCTTCACCTCGGGTGGCTGGACACACCCTCCTTAAGGAATTGCTTTGTTTCTTCCTTGTTTAGGGGCAAATGACCCAGAAGCAATTCCTGACAGGCGTCTGCCATGCCCCTCACTTTACAGTTGAGCCCCATCCTCTGGTGTCTGCGTCCCCACAATATATAGCCTGGGAAGGTGACTCTTTGGGGGAGTGCTAGAGAAACTCAGACTTAGTCCAGCTGTACTTCACCATCTCCCCACAAGTCAGAGGCTGCCCATAGGGACCCTGCTGGGCGATCAGCAGCCAGCACCTGCGCTCACAATGACCCTTTGAAGGTTTGGCTGCAGCGTCCCCGGCACCCTGCCAGGGCAGAAACTGCAGCCGCACAAAGTCTCAAAAACTGTGTCAGATGCCCACGCAGGATGGCGGCTTCCGGCTCCCCCGGGAGCAGGCAGAACCACCGTGGGGGCCCGGGAGGGAGCCTGAGATGGGGCCACTTGGATGCATACCGCCTTCAGGGTTAGCTCCGCTGGAGACTTACCGGTCTGAAAGGCTGAGTGGAGGCAGGGTGGGTGGTGGCAGCCGGGTTCTGGATGCCCTTCTGGCATGGGTGGTGGGGAGGAGACCCAAGTTGGCTGCTCAGGCCGGACGACCTGTTTGCTCACCGCGGCGCCCTGGTGGAGTGGAGCAAACGCGAACGCGGGTGAGTCCCTTTGCCTGGTGGAACCAGCAAGACTGCGCAATGGTGAGTGCAAGAGCCCGGCCCACAGGTGAGGGCGTGTGGCTCTGTCGCAAGGTACTCTCACGTGGCAGGACAGGCCTTAACCCCTGAGCACCCAGAGACCTACCTAGGCATGCGCCCCCACAGCACCCACGGGGCCCACAGAATAGGTGATGAGAAAACACGCAGCACTCTAAGGGATGAATGGGCTGTGTCCTTGTCAAACTTCCTGCTTTCCTTGCAGGAGGTGACACCAGACAGATCGGGGACTCAAAGCTGAACCATGCCCCACCCTTCACTGGAGATTCTAGGTGGGGCTCCATCCCTGAGCCATGCACAAGACTTGGTCCATTGTATAAGTATTGACTTCTCTGTCTGTAGATCATATCATATCTCTCTGGCCCCTGTGGCTTTCCGGTTTCAGGTTTGTTTTTTTTTATTTTTTTAATAATTTATATGAATTTGCCGTGTGGTGATGGCACACGCCTTTAATCCCAGCACTTCGGAGGCAGAGGCAGGTGGATCTCTGAGTTCGAGACCAGCTTGGTCTACAGAGCAGAGCGAGTTCCAGGATAGGCTCCAAAGCAATAATACAGAGAAACCCTGCCTCAAAAAAGCAAGTAATAATGATAATAATAATAATAATAATAATAATTTATATGAATTGGTGGGTTTTGCCTTCATATATATCTGTGTGATCATGTCGGATCCTCTGGAACTGGAGTTACAGACAGGGTTAGGGTGGTTGCTGGGAATTGAACTCAGGTCCTCTGGAAGAGCAGCCAGAGCTCTTAACCTCTGAGCCACCTCTCCAGCCCCAGGTTTGTTTGTTTGTTTGTTTTTTAATTTGCTTCTGCTTCATTTGATCACTCATGACCTAATTCCTTCCTGTGATGCCCTAAGGATTCGTCCACATCTCTGGAGGAGTTGGTGATGTCCTCTGTAGTTCCTGAGGCAGGAAGGGTTCAGATTCATGCTTCTAGCCGGCTCAGGAGAGGCAGACTCTGCGGCTCCAAGGACCCCCACGTTTAGGAGTGGTGACATTAGTCAGGCTTTCTGGTGGAACCTTAGCACAGGAGAGGTGAGGCAGAAGAATCACAGTTATTATCCTCAGCAGCCTGGGCTACTAGAAGTGGTTTTTACTGCTATTATTTTATTACTTTACAATATAATGTAAACTATTGATAATTAAAGACAGAGCCCCACTTAGACCCAGCTGGCCTCGTGTCTGGTTTGCTATCCGCTTGGGGCGCTCCTGAGCCGCATGTGTAGGCTCCGCCCCCAATCTCCGATTGGGTGTGCTAGGCTCTAGGCCCTGCCCTAGCTCCACCCCCTGCAGGCTTTCTTCCCTCAGTTCTCTGGTTTATACGAGCTGCTCGGTTTTTCCGCCTATGGACACTTGGAGGCGCTAGTGAGTCGTATTTCACCTTAGCCCTGCCCCTGATCTCTGATTGGTCAGATCCCGCCCCCTGCTGAAGTTTCTCCCTCCTCC